ACTCCATCTAATAACACATCCATGCAAACACACAGGGAACACATAACCTTCGGGGTTGCTGTGGCATGGAAAATCTGAGTAGATACATTTTCATTTAATTTGTCTGTTTTGAGAATGAGTCTTGAAACTTCAGCCCTCCCCTTTGAGTCTAGAACTTTGGTGTCTCATCTTTCTGCCAGGTAATGGATTCTGCTGGATTGGTTGTGGTCAGTAGCCTGTGGTACCTGGTGGAGAAGGGAATCTGGGACCTGGGTGCTTAGTTGGTTTTAACCCCACTCCCCTCCTCCACCTTCAAAGATTCCTGTTATCTCCATTTCCTTAGCCTTTGTAGGATATGGCTTGTTTATTGACCATTCCACATGGCTTCAGCTTGAGAGAGCAGACCAAAGACCTCAATCAACTGTTAACTTGTCTGTTTGCTTTCTGCCTTCAAAAATTTAATTGATATCTTTCTCTTATTATACCTGTTCTTATCTTTTGTGTAGTTCTGCTTTTGTAAATTTATTACGACTATTTGGTAGGGTTTTGGTAGGAAATAGAAAGTAGAGCATGTGTTCAGACCACCATTTCCAAGCGAAAGATTTCACTTCTCTTCATGAACCATCTTAGGTCTCCCCAGATTCTGCCTAGGGCAAGGAGATTTAAAGCAATTTTCCAGGCCAGTATTCTTGGACTCTGCAAGTCTAAGGTTTAGACATAAGTTTATTTTGGTTTTTTTTCTATTGCAGTGTAAGGAATCACACCAAAACTTAGCCACTTAAGACCATTGTTTTATTATAATTTCTCTTTAATTGTGGGGTAGCCGGACTCAGCTAGGTGGTTCTTGTGCAGAGCCTGTCTTGCAGTTGTACTTAGTGGCTGGGTCTGGGACCATCTTGATAGTTTATTTACTTCCTTGTCTGGTGTCTGGGCCAGGAAGACTCAAACACTTGGGGTCTGGAACAGGCTCCTTAGATATCTCTCTCTCCCTGTGGTATTCCCATGTGTTCTCTCCAGCATGGTGGCTTCAAGGCAGACAGGCTTTTTATGTGGAAACGTGATGTTTTAGAGGTGCATTCCGAGAGAGAGCCACCTGAAAGCTCTGTATCACTTTTCTCAGCAAGTCTTAGAAGTGCCCTTTCCCCTGAACCTCGTGAGCTGATGCAGCCACAAAAGCCCACTCAGTTCCACACTTGATCTTAGCCAAAAGACTGAGGAGCGATGCCCACTCAGTTCCAAGGTGGGGTGACATACCCTTTCTTTTCATTGGAGTAATGTCAGTTCTGGACAGCATGGGAGCTAGGATATTTATGGCAACCATATTTGGAAAGTAGAGTTAAAAGATTCTCTCTAGCATTGCTGCTTAATCTCTAGATGAGAAAAAGTAACTTAACTCCTTAGATATCAGTGTTCTTACTCATGAATTGTAAATGTGTTAGCTGTTGGTCCAGGAATGCTACCTACCATCCCCCCAAAAGCAGTGTGCAGTTAATACCCATTTATTTGTTACACATGTGTTTCTCGATACCTGGAGTTCACTTCATCTAGGCTGGTGTCCAAGCTGCTGATTGGGTTGAGACTTGCAGCATGTGTCTTTATGCTCTCTTAGACCAGCAGCTCCTTGAGGCATATTCTTATGGCTAAAGGGAAGAATTCAAGGGACAAGTAAAAACGCACAAATACATTTAAAGCTTCTTTTCCTCTCAAATCAGTTAACATCTCATTGACCATTGAAGTCATATATCCAAGCTTATTATCTGTGGAGGTTGGGGAATATCTTCTTGGTCAACAGGGAAGGAGTATTTATTTAGGAGATGATGGTCTAATCTATCATACAGATTCTCCCTCTGTGTTTGACTCTTGACGTATTATGGAGAGATTTTCTTAGGACAGCAGTTGTTCAGTTGCTGAACTGAGTCTGATTCTTTTAGACCTCATGAACTATAGCACTCCATGCTTCTCTGTCCCCCACCATCTCCTGGAGTTTGCTCGTATTCATGTCCATTGAGTTGGTGATGCTGTTTAAATATCTCATCCTCTGTTGCCCAGTTTTCCTCCTGCCTTCAATCTTTTCCAGCATCAAGGTCTTTTCCAATGAGTCAGCTCTTTGCATCAGGTGGCTAAAGTTTTGGAGCTGCAGCATCAGTCCTTCCAGTGAATATTCATGGTTGACTTCCTTTTGGATTGACTGGTTTGATCTCCTTGCAGTCCAGGGGACTCTCAAGAGTCTTCTCCAGTATCACAGTTCAAAAGCAGCAATTCTTTGGCACTCAGCCTTCTTTTTTTTTTTCCATTTATTTTTATTAGTTGGAGGCTAATTTCTTCACATCATTACAGTGGTTTTTGTCATACATTGAAATGAATTAGCCATGGATTTACATGTATTCCCCATCCCGGTCCCCCCTCCCACCTCCCTCTCCACCCCATCCCTCTGGGTCTTCCCAGTGCACCAGGCC